TATATATACTGCATTACTGTGTAATATTTATGGTTTCTATAGCCGTGGCATCATTATGATGGTATGAAGAGATGGCTTAATTCATGTAGGACGCCACTGAAGGCCTAGGTGTAAAATGCACGGCCCGCCACTGATATATATATATATAATCCCAGGTTTCTTTGGTCACGCAGGTTTGTTTATGCATTAAACTCGTGGCCATGAGAAATGGATGTTGTTCCTTCAACATAGGATCTCAAGGCCACGACTTCACATCGTGCGGCCACAACATAAGGATGTCGTTACCTTGACAAAATTATCTCATGGCCACGACATTTTATCACGTTCCCACGAGTTAATATGTCATGGCCACGACAAAACTAGTGAAGCGAACATGTCCCCTCCCGGTCACCTTACTTGTGAGTTTGCTACTGTTACAATTAAATACATGAAGGGTAGCAACATGTCAGGCAGACAGTGGTACGATGTAAGCAACACAGCTACAACAAATAAAACTGATAATAAGTGTGTTAGATTTATAGTGTGCGAATAATCAAGCATTGACAATAGTCAATCCTATTGGCAGCAAGGGGCCCCCCCAAAAAAAATCTGCTTAGCCCCATAAAGCTTGGGCCAGCCTTGACTAAATGAAATAAATGTTCAGTTTCTTCAGAAATAAGCCTTTGTAAGAACTTCTTGTTTGGCAGCACTGTAGTATTTCCTATTTCATTATAATTATATAATACACTATAAAATAAGGAGTAAAATTGTCAAAACATCTACTCCTCATATTTTTAGAAGTGATAATATCCAGAAAAGTAATTTTAACTTTCAGTGGGATTTTTTTTTCTGAATGAATGAAAATGCTCAAAATAATTAAATACTTCATAAATGTCTAAAAACAAAGCTTGTGTCATCTGAAATCAAATATGTTTGTGTTTTGAAGGTTCTGAAGGTGTTAATATTGTAATTATTATTATTAAGAAGACATGTTGGGGTTGGAAGCAGCATAATAAGGCTTTGAATAACTGTAGGGGAGAGAGCCTTACATAATACTTCCTAAAAAAAACTTTCAAAAGGAAAATATTAGTTTAGCAAATAATCTTTAATATTCAGAAGAAAACTGTCCACTCCTGAAAATGTGTTGAGTTTAAGAAGATTCAGTAACCTTGTCCAAATAAAGAGGTTTCCTCATTGCATCTGTAGTACAGCAGAAAAACTAAATAATTATATTCTTCTGACAACAGCCTGCAGAGCCGTATAATAATCTCAACTGTGAGCACCGTTTTACCTTTGAGCACACTGTACGTAAACAGAAATAATTAAATGGACTGATGTGTAACTAGGAATTAATGAATCAGATTTGTAACTGATGTGCAGTAATAATATTAACAATCAAGAAATACATAAAGAATACAAAATACATTTACTCTGGCAAACACACTTGTGGTACAGAATCGTTAAGGCAGCAACATATTGACAGGACTGACACTGTTCAAGTGTTTTAAGATCTCATTCTGCTATACAATAAGAACAAGCAGTTTGACACTTGTCCTTCTAAGGGAGCTTGAGTTCTTTTTCTCCAGCGAATCATGAAATAGCCTATAGACAGGAAAATTATTACAGATAAAAGAATGCAAAAACAGATTAATAATATTTTCCACCAGTCTGTCTGTGTTTCTGGTACTTGGTTTTCTTCTTCAGTGGATTGTTTTCCTGTTGTTTCTGCAACAAAACAAGTTCAGAAAAAAACAAAAAACATTACCACACTGTGATAAAGACAACAGATCCATCATTTATACTCTATACAGCAGCATTCAGATTGAAATTCAGGCTATATTTTAATTAAAACCTATGAAGGTAAAATCATTTTACCTTCATAAAAAAACCGAAGTAAACCATTTTTACACACCGTTAATGAACAGCCGTACAGTCTCCTGTTTAGAATAAGATGAGTGTGTGATGAAGCAGCTGAACTCTCCTGCATCAGCGCGAGTGAGATTGATGAGTTTGATGGAGAAGTTTCTTCTCTCATACTCCTCAGGGAAAGTTTGCGCTCTGTTCTTATACCGTGGGTCCTGTTGCTCTAGTGAATCTTTACATTTAGTTATATCATAAACATATTTGCTGCCATTGTGTCTCCAGTGCACATTAATGTCTTGAAGTTCAAGGTCATGTTGAGTTGAAGAACACGGCAGGACAACAGAACCACCAATAAAACCCTCTACTATGACCTGTAGAGACACTGAAATGACAGAAACTTTAACTGTGAACACACAAAATGTGGTATTCATTTATCCTTTAAATTTAGGTTGTTTTGTGCTTACCATTATTTATCACCACTGCGAATACACAGAGAAAGCAACAACTGCAGAAACAGAAAAAAAATTTACCTGTGAGTTCCTTAGTCAGTATAACCCAGTAATTCATGCAGATTGGCAGAAAATATTGTTTTATTTTGAAGTGAATTGTTAAAATGAAATCATTGGGGCAAGACACTCCTCAGAACTGGGGAAGAAAGTCTTTATAATTTAATAAATAATTACTGTAATTGTAAAAATTCATGGAGTTATTAGTTAAATCTGAATTCATGGTTTGTTAATAAAGTATTGGCCTTTATACAATACTTACATTTATACAGTATAACTTAGACGTATCTCTATCTGTTATTCAGTCATTTGATTTGTTAGTCATTGTTCAACCAAATTGCCAAAACTGGCAATTTACCAAAAATATTTCCATTTATTTTTCTTAATAATGTATTGGCTGTTGCATCATCGTCATCCTGTACCTGCTAAACTCATCTCTAAATATGTTACAGTTTAGGAGTAAATGGTGAAATGTCAACCCTGAATACACCGCAAGACTAGATAAATCAAAATACTATCAACTAAAAATAAATACACAAACAGTTTTCAGAAGGTTCAAGATAGTAATACACAATGCTAATGCTAATTGCTAATGAATACATCAAAACAAAAGTTAAAGATATTTCTTTGCAGATAAACCTGTTAATCATTTAATAATCAATCCGTGTTTAATGTACTAATTAATGATGCCTAAAAGTTTTCTCTGTAACTGATTTAAATGAAGTAGTTGAGAACCAAATCAAAACAGATCAAAGACAAAGATACTGTGGCAAGCTAGACTGGAGACTGGAAACAAACTAGATAGAAGTTTGACACGTTTGCCCCAATTATGTTTGATTCAGAACATAGCCTACTGTACCTGATGATCATGATGCCCAAATATTATTCAATTATGTTGTATTAAATTATTTTAAATATTTCAGGAATATAGGTAATACACTACAAACAACAGAAGTAGCGTAAACTATTCTGCGTCAGCATGCGCTTCTCGATGACATCAGACGTAAGTGTCATCAGATGACGTGAAATGATCAGAAATGTGCACATTATATTCTTTAGTCTTTTTAAAGTATATTAGTGAAGTTGACTGTTATTTGCTCTAGAGGGAATGTTTGATCTCTTACTCTTGACCTTCTACTGAATCCTAACCATTATAATGTATATATTGTGCATGTTTCTGCTGTCAGTTACTGTATCTAGAATGATCTGTTTGCCGTTTGTACTTTAGTTCATCATAAGAAAAGCGCAACATTCAAGACATTCAGAGATATGGAAACTGATCATTAAAGACAAATAATTTATTCAGCTTGTGAAAATTCAAATGAAGAGAATTCAGACCTACTGTATATTGTGTCATCAATTACTATGTACTAATATTAAAATGAATCATTTGTTACAATGTCCTTATTTTGTAAATACATGTATTAAAATTGTACATATATTTAAAAATACCTGCATGTAATTACAGCTGTAATTTCTGTATATTTACATCTATAATTACACTGGTGACCCCTTAACTAACCCTTACCCATACCATGAAAACAATATTGTAGGCTCAAATTTAAAAGAGAGCTGTGTAATTTTTCACACCTAATTTTCAAAAACAATTAATGAAAGTTTTATGAATGTCAATTATAAAATGTGGCTGAAATACGATAAAGCTAATGGCTTCCTTGATCAACCAGAATCACAAGAAAGACCATGACAGTTGACCAGATCTAGTTGCAAAGCTCAAACCAGACCAACATCAAACCAGCACAAACCAGAAAAAAAATGTTTGAAATTACAGGTGAGAAGAAAATGAACTGAATGAGTAAATTTAATTATTACCTAACATAAGGATGAGAGGGAAGCTTCTTTTCATCGATTCCTCTGGGAAAATGTGTTCTGGATATGGATCCTCAAGTGAAACATTTCTCCGAATGTCTTATATTCCTGCTATCACTGAGCCTTTAATGCTCTGTCGTGTCCTGACTTCAGTTTATCGTCACTGTAAGAGCAGGACAAGAATGCTGATCTTCCAGATACACCCACATTCATGAGCTGAGGAGACATTTGCCTTTCCAATTTTGTCATGCAGCTGATAGAACAGAAAAACAGAGCTTGCTTCCTCCCGAAAGAAATAGAAAAGAAATAATAAAAACAAACAAATAAATAAAAACAGCATTTTTCTACGAGAAATTACCCGCATTGATGATATTTTTTGTTTCCATCTAAAAATGATCAAAATATTGACAACAATACATGCTCTTACATAGAAAAAAAAAAATAAATTGTAGTTGTAATTGTAGTTTAAACTATCAAGTTTTTTTTCTATTCTGTCTTACAAATTTCTGCTGTCATTCCCATTTCTTGTCATTTATTAATAGGTTTGTTAAATGATTTTTTATTTTGATCTCTTTGACAGACGTACATTTGTTTTGCTTAATGCACCTATTGTTACTTAATGTACACAAATAATATTTGTCTTCAGTTTGAAATACTATTCATTCAAGAAAGCAGAGCCATCTGTATTGTGTGTAGTATAGAATTTTGAATTATGCTTTTGTATGGGCACTTTTTGAAACCTGTTGTGATTGTGTTCAGTCTGATTTTGATCATGAATCATAGAAGCATTCAGTTTAATGTTTTGCAGTTCTCGCATATAGGTTCTAGGGGCAGTGGGTGAAAAAGTAAGTCAAGCTGAAATGTGAATGTCAAGCAGATAAGATATGGTCATCTTTCATCAAAAATAATGCAGATGCCATTATCTGATGTGTTTCATTTACTAGTAATGAGTGGTGCTTGATAGGAAAATCTCAACACCAGGATGTGAGAAGAGCCCAAGCATGTGTTCATGATATTCAGGTACAACTGGGGCCTTTAGAGGCCATTAAAGGGGTCATATGATGCGATTTCAATTTTTCCTTTCTCATGAGGGGACATTTATTTGGAGTTCAAACATTGATTCTTTTTAATAAATCTATTACAAACATGCACACTATTTAAAACTTATATTATGCTTACAGGTCATCTCTACTGTGACCTGCAGAGACACTGAAATGACAGAAATGAGTCTAAACACACAATCTAAACATTTTTAACATTCATTAGACATCGAACAATTCAAATATCCTAATGGACATGTTACAAAATTTTTTTTTCATTAAGTGTCTGTCATACTCAGTCAATAAAATCATTTTAAGACAGCTGTTGATTTGTCTTTTTGTTCAAGAAGTAACTTCAAAAGTAGATCATTTGTATTGTATGTATTATATCATTGTTATATTCAGTTTCTGTATGTTATGCACACAATGCTATTGAAGCCTGGTGAGTCTGGTTCTTAAATACATAGATACATTCATTTTTTTCCCCCTCTTAGTTTGCAGAGGTGTATCACCTGATGCCATTGTTTGATGTTTTATTTTCACTAGCAGAATAGTGTTGCTGTGGCACCAGGATGCTGGAGTTAGAAACACTGCCACAAGTAAGAAGAGCCTAGTCCCATTTCTCTATAGATTTCTGCTGCTGAGATAAAGTTGAGGCCCAATGAGTCATCAAGAGCCTCATTGGGCCCTCAAAGAGCCCCAGTGCATGTGAAGAGCCCATTACTATGTCTGTGGGACATTCTGATCATTTTTGAACAGCTTTGTTCAATCTGTTGCTCTTCTAATTAAGCGGCTATCACTGTGTGTAAACAGTCATGTGCCAAAATTCAGCAGTTTTCTACATACAAGGAAGAAGTAGACTAGGTTGAGCACATTGTCAGCAACAACTCTCATTGTGGGAAACAAACTGTGAAGCTGGGTTATTCAAAAACCCTAAAATAATGCAACACAATTGTGAGACAAACACTCCAAACACTCAGAAAGATGCTGTTAATGAGAGTTAATGAGAAGATTCCTTAAATGTTATGTCTGAATAGTGCATATCATAATCCTTTTCTAGTTTTGTGCATAAATCCCTGTATAGTTTTGTATACTGATGCATAAAACTAGAAGAATAATTTGCAGATTAGCTACTTATTTTCAAATATATTCTCTCAAAACTAATCTTATCATACAGAGTTTTGTTTCTCAAATAAATTGATCTTGTTTTAAGAATGTTTAGATATTTTTTACTAAAATAACAACAACAACAACAACAACTAAATACTGTGTTTGGGTGGCAAAGGGAAGAGTTCAGGACAGTGCATACAGGAGTATATTTGGGACTTTATTGGTAATAAGATCTGTTCAGATTGTCTTCATAAAACCCGGAAAAGGATTTGCTTTTGAGTCATTGTTTCACAGAAAATGTAAATTAAGTCATGTAGATGATGCAAATCTGTTAAAGGTTAAAGATAAAGACACCATCTACTCATTTTGTGCAGCGCTTTTAGTGAATAATAATATAGCTGAACTCACACAGCACTTAGATTTATTCATTCATTCTTGTGTTAGATGAACATTATACAAGTAAAAGTATAAGGACAATTACTGCTCAGTTTCATTACACATATAGATTGTGCAGCATCTGTGATGTGATATTTTGGGCACTTGCTGGTAAAATCTGTTCTGTGTGCATTTAGACAAAGTCTATTGCCAATAATATTACATTCAGCCATGCTGAACCTCTCTCACTTCGTCACAGTGTTGGACTTGATATCAAAATTCACACACATTTTATTATAACAAACTGCTTCAAAACTTCATCCCGTCAAACCTGAAAATGAAGACATTCAATCTAACGTTCAATCTAACTCTATGAAAACTATACACAATCATAAAATTAAAAATTAGTGATAACATGTAAAATTAATGAATAATTAATGAATAATTCTCCAAGCGAAACTCACACAGGTTTAAAAACTCAGTGTATCTGAGCAGGGCTTTCATGATAGTTTCATGCCACAACCATACAGAAAACGGACACTATCTGATTTGATGTGCATTAACATATGTGTACAACCTAAAGCTGATGTGTTTCAAAATAACTGTATGCCAACATATGTGACCCTGGACCACAAAACCAGTCTTAA